GGAGTGTTGTAAGAATAGCTAAACTACATATTATGAGACAAGGACGGGAAAGAGAGAAAGAGAGAGATAACGAGGGGGAGGAGGAAGAACACGCCACACCTGCAGCTGCAACGCGCGTTGCGCACGCAGAGTAAAATCCACCACATGGGTGTATAGTATATATTATACCTACAATGTGCCGCAGAGAAGCGCAGCTGCAGAAAAAGGCAATGTGCAGCGTGACGGGGAAGTAAAGGAAAAATGAGCTTTTCGGCATGGTAATATTGTAGTTGTTTGGTCAGAAGGCTGTTGGAAAAATAAAGAAGAAGAAAAAGAAGAAGATTTAATGAGTATAGATAGAGAGGAGTGGAAAGAAGCAGAGAGCGAAAACAGATCAAGAAGTGATCCCCCCACCCACTCGCTCTATGTGACGACATTGACGACGGCGAGATGACAACAAACAGACACATTTATTTTATCCATACGTATATATAGATGTATACACATATACCCACATTATAAATACATCTGTATAATATATTATATATGCCGTGTGTTGCCCGTACACCCTAGTGTATGCCTTTGCCAATGTATATGTGTATTTATCTATACGTGTGCATAAACACCTACACTAGGTACTGTTGCCTTGTGCACTTGCACATCAGTAGGTATATGATGTATACCTCTGTTTTTCCCCACCGTGCGACTCCATTCCTTTTTTTCTTTTTTTTTTTTTACTGCACGGTAAAAACTTGCTCTACGTCATTCTGTATGGTGTACACGAAGCAACTGGATTTACATCACGTATATATATGTGTGTATATAAAGCAGAACAAGCAGACGTCGTGCATATAGTCGAGGCGAGAGGCATATATACGACGGAGCCATTGGGCTCTGGTTCGCGCGCTGCTGTCCTCCCCCGCGCGCTCTCGCTACACACCGATAAAATGGCGAACACGGAAATTCACTCGAGCCGGAGAGAGAGCGCGCACTGTGCTTATTAAATACGGAAGTTTCAAAACGCGGAATTGCGCTCGCTTGTGCACATGTATAGGTACAATGTTACCGCGCGAGGGTGTGCTGGATGGCGAAGGGCTTTTTTTTTATTTATACTTTTTTTTTGCCCATCTATGTGAGCGTGATTAATATGAGGAGTTTCTACGGTGCAGATTGATCATTTGTGTGGTTTTGCACTATATGTTGCGTGTCGAAAGGTTTTCTTCCTTTGAAAGATCGTGAAATTATAACTTGTGTCCTCCGATGACGGGAAACTTTATACAATTGTAGCGTAGCATTTTTTTAAAATGTAGAACAGTTAAAGATAATTTAAAAAGACAAAGATGACATATAGTGCCAGTTTTACTTGTTCATCGTAAAAATAATACCTATTTTATATGTTTTGAGAAAAGAGAAAAGTGTATTTCTATAGACTTTTAATCGATTTTTCCAGTTAAAAATTTATAAAGGTACGAGCTGTTACTTTGTGAGTGTTTCCTTAACAAAAATGGACCGATGCAGGTGAAAGAAAAGCCCTTAAAATCGATCTTTTGTAATCCCCGTGACTACATCAATACGTATAGACATAAAACTTATATAAACGTATACTTGTAATTATATAATACATTTCATAACAGACGATGAAACAATTAGCATTGCTAACGTAAATAATGCAGCAACGAACCGAGCGTTTTTTTAGAGGCGAGTCAGCTGGAGCAAAAAACCTCCTCTCTCTCGTCGGACCGCTCTATTTCGATCGGATAAACAAAAAATAAAAAATGATAAATGGCACCTACTTGTCATCGGTGACTTTTTCTCTTTCCCTCTCTCCCTTCCTTATCGGAGAGAATTTATATATAATAAATTCACCACTGAGTAAGTACGCTTATGTAAAGCCATCGACTCTCCCAAGCGCGCAATATCATTTCCGATTCTTTGCCGGACGAGCCATCGCGCTTTATAAATTTTAATATCCGCTTTTGTAGGTGTATCCCCGTCGTCACCATGACCATCGCGTCATTACTGCTATACGTGTACAAAATAGGTACACTGTGGAGCAGCTGCCACCACGCGATCCGCACGTTTTCCGGTACACATTTTTTATGCATGAGATCCCGTGCGTATACATATTTTTTTTTTTTTTTTTTTTTTTTTTTTTTTTTTTAATTCAACACCGATCTTTTGAATAGTGGTCTCGCGCGCGCGCGCTCGCCACGCGTCCTCCGGCCTATTGAAAATCGCTTCTAGAGCCTTTTTTTCTGGAGCACACGCCACTCGATCTCTCATTATACGTTGCGCGCAGCGCGTGTGCTTTACTATTCTGTTGCATTGCGCGGTGTATGTAATAAAAAAAAACCTACCTATACACATCGTGAATAGAGAGAGGGAGAGAGAGGGGGGCCACGCGAATATGTCGAGGGTTGAATCGGTGTACGTACAAAGCTGGCTGTTGGATCATACGCGTGCATATAATATAAACCTTGAAAAAAAAAAAAAAAAAAGAAAAAAAAAAAGAGGAGGAAGAAAGGTGCTCGACGGGCTGCTCGCGTTGTTTCACGTGATGCTGTACAAGATGAGGGTTAGCAGGTGTGTGGTATACGTTAAGTACATATATGCCGTCACCGCTGCTTTGTATACTGTGAGAGGAAAATCACTACTCCAAGGGTTCATCGTGTTTCTGCATTTTTATAACTTAATTTTTTGATATTGGATGATAATAAATTAAAGTCATGTACACACATAATAATATATACTCTTGTACAATCAATCAACCCCAAACTCTGTTTTTAACTAAATGCAAAATATAATTTTTAGAAATATGTACATTCGCTCCCGCAAGTAGTACAAAAAAGCATCACCCTTGCGTTGGACGTGCAGAGTTGCAGCGTAAAAGAAAAATCGTGCAATTTTCGGGGCCAAGGGCGCGCGCGTGCGTGATGGTGGCCACAACAACAACAACAACAGTAGCAGCAACACTACAGCTAGTTCGCGAGATCGCACGCGAAAAATGCGCACCCGCGTGGAAAGAGCACACATTCCGTATAATAATTCAAGAGTAGAGAGAGAGAGAGAGAGAGGGAGCAAAGAACGCGTGCAGATAATGCCCGGACTGACGCGCGGTTGCGCACCTGCATTAAACGTCATTACCCCTTGGCCGGGCTACCCTATACACGTACAGGTATATATACATTGTGGCGTGTGTTTTGCCTCTTTCTTTCCTCTCGATGCATTATGTACCCCCCCCCCTCCCCTGCATCACCTGCATCTCCTCCCCGTCGTGTCTATACACGTACATATATAGGCATATTATTGCGTGTAGTGCCCTCTCGGGGATTCCCCGAATGCGTGCGCGCGGGGATAATGTAGAGTATAGTGGCAAGAGCACCACCATACTTGCACTGTCGACGCCCGGCTAATTCGACTTTCTTCGAAAACAATAATTCCCATCACCCGTGAGAAAGTCCCTCCAAGACATACGTACCTACACATTTTTTTTGAAACGGTGCGCTTCTCGGTATGTGGTCTATCCGCTGATGGGTTTTCGTACGAAGCCATATATGCACGGCTCATCGCGAGGGTGAGAAAAATAACACGAGGGATCGTGTAGGTAATCGTTTTTCAAAGTCTCGCGAATATTGCGTTTAGTTATACCCCGTCATTGATGCCTCTATCAATCGGTGGATTCGCGGGGCTGAGGGCGAATCACTTCCTCGGAAATCAAAGGTGCGAGGGAACACATGGTTCATGTATATATTTATATACAGGCTTACATGGTACGAAAATTAAATCCACGTACACAAGGCACAATACGATCGAACAGGTACTGTTATTTGGACGGGTTAAATAGCCACCCGTACACCTGTATATACGTATACATGTCTACACACCCAAAAGAAATAATACGCACGTATGATATATTATATCAAACGAATTCAATTTCAAAGTGGGTGAGTCTATACATATACACATGTATATGATCAAAGTAGCACAACGCGGATCTTTCGAGTTTTTAACGATGGCAATTGCTCCCGTTCGTTATACGTACAATAAAACCACCGGCTACTGCTTTTGATCCGAGGATATGTAATTATACATATATATTTAGTTTGTTTGTTTGCCCACACCCACGCACACATACTAGCTAAGCGGTGCAGTGCAGGCATTACATCGCTTTGAAGAGCGAAGAAGCAACAGCAGCACCGAATGGTATATTCTTTTTTGTTTTTGCTCAATTCCTCCCTACCGTGTGTTTTTTTTTTTTTTTTTTATACAAGCTCCGAAAAGCTCATCTCTCTTTATTGCCGCGCAATCGTACCTTGTCCGCGTCGAATGGAACACAATCCCGATACATCCGAGAATAACCACGCGAGGCTCGCTTGTTCGCGCGGGATTATTATAAAACGAATTAATACATACGCACCGTGTGTGTATACGTTGTACCTATGCATATACACCGATTTGAAAAAGGAATTGGTACAGTTATCTGTGCGATACGAGCGAGCGAGGAGGTGAGCGGTGGTCCACGCGATTCAAACTTGGAAGCTGGTATAGTGCACGCGCGGATCAATAAATCCCTGGCTACGTATACTTGGTTATCTTATGGATCTCTCTCTCTCATCTCGGCTGTGTGTGTAGCGTCGCGGGTACATAGGTATACTATACCTCCTCTCTATACCTATTATAGTCTACGTAGCGTCCGTTCGCTTGTTATGTGGTTATCTCTCGCCGGCGCTACACGATCGGCCGCCGTGATATATTTCAGTCGCACTGCACGATTATGCACGCGCTCTCCTTCCTCCTCCTCCTCGGGCAAAGATGCTTGCAGAGCTTTAATATCTCGCGTGCTAAAGCCCCTGGCCTTCGACTTTTTTTTTTACCATTTATAGCTGCGGAGCTTCCGAAGTGCGCTGTGCACATTGTGATGTTCGATATCGCACAGCACGTCCATCATTTTATTTTAAAAAAAATTTACGATGTTTTTGCTGGTTGTGAATGTATTTAATGAATAAAACAAGGGGACTGACCTTGGTCTGGTCCTGCTGCTGTGCCAATTGTTCCCTGACCATCTGGAGGTACATGATGATGTCCGAGAGCCTGCGATTTCGTTCGGCGATCGTGTCGGCGCCGAGGATACTGTCGAGGGCAGCGGCCACGCCGTCGGGAGGCTGGGGTGTTGGCTGCTGGTGCGCTGGCTGGCCCGTGTCCGAGTTCTGCAATCGGCCAGTGCCGGTGGGCGAGGGCGCCACGCTGTTCGCTAAACTGCTGCTGCTACTGCAATCACATTGAAGTTTATTTATTTATTTATTTTTTTTTTTCAAAAGAGTTTTAGCACAAAGCTCCTTATTGTCATGATCTCTCTAGTCGTTGGGGTAAAAAAGGTAACCGCTTCCTTCGGAAATGATAAAACAGTGCAGTGATGACGTTTTTCTAATTTTTTTAACTCAACGTAAAATTTAACATTTGTCCGATGCACTTGCAGGAAAAAAGGGGCAGGGATTCAAAAACCAAAGCGTCATCCTCGATTTTTGGTGGAAATTAGCCCGTGTGATAAAATTTCCAACACAGTAAAGAGCACGGAGTTTGGGTCTGCGGTGACCGAAATGAATCGATAACCCCGCAAGCACGAAAAAAAGCTCTGGCAAATCCCTGTTGTTGTTGTTTACACACATCAGTTATAAGTTTATGTATTCGGCTCGAGAGTGCGTCAGTAACGAGATGGAGCAAGAGCGAGGCATGTAAAGTATGCGTATGTATGGGTACTTGGGTATATTATACGCGCAGTAGTTCGCGCGCAAGCGGCGTAAATAATAGATGGGGGCTCGCGGCCGCGCGCTATCTTATACAGAGGGGGGAGAGGGCGAGTGTTTGCCGGAGCTGATAGGCCGCAGCGGCAGGTCCATGTGTATACGAGCTCGGCCTCCTTCTCCCCGGAGGGCGCGCTCTTTTATGCCAAGGGAAAATGGACCACGAATAAGTGATGCAGCGAGCCATTGTGAGCCTCCAACTAGCTCTCACAAAGCCGAAGACGCGAGCTTTTCACTACGAGGCGGGGGGGTGGGGGATATAATAGTAGCCCTACTGTAGTGAACATGTGGTAAGTATACGTGCACATAAGAATAAGAAGCTGGTGTGTATATATATAGGTATGTATTTGTACAGTGGTGCATCAAATGAGAAAAGAGAGGGGTATGCAAGGCTGGGTCCTTCAACGAGCTTTGCCAAGCGCTTCGCTGCATCATCCCCAATCTCTGGCAGTAAATATCTAGGCCAGTGTGGGTATAACGCGGTGGCCAACAGCTGCTTTACGCGATAATCCACACACACACACACACACATGTCACGCTTGTATTTTTTGGACAACAAATTGCAGCTTTTATTCTTGCATATAATCGTCATGGTATATAGAGCTGACACGGAGTGCGTCACTTTAACGAGTCAGGTATAGCTTGAAAGAGAGCTGTAAGGTGTATATATATATATTAAATAGGACTCCGTCACCGCGTGTGGCTGTACGTTTTTCCCTTCCCTCATCCCATATATGCATCAGAGTGTAATATATTATACGGCTCCCACTGGCTGCTGCTACCGCGGTGGCTGTCTTTCGGCGTCGATTTATTTAGCTGCTTTACAAATCTACGACTAGCGCTCGTCTCGTTTCAGGTGACCTGTTGTAATCGATGGCTCGTCGGGCGCACACCAAGTTTTCCTACACGTATATTATATACACGTGTACCACAGTTGTACACCGTTTGCAAAGTGATGCACAAGAGGGAACGATTTTATATTGTCCGTGTCATTGGCAAAGCGTGAATTGCGCGTGCTTTTGCGTGTCAAACTTTTTTGACGAGCGCGTCAATCAAGCCGCGGCTGTGGGTTTTGAAGCGCGACTGCATTTGGTACACCTTAAACGCGAGGGATTTGCGTTTTCTTTTTCCTTCGGCAGAGCTTGCATGATTCGTCCGTTATTGCCTGTCATTGAGGATATACAATCAGATATTGGGCTCGAATTTGGCGATGGCTGTGTTTTCATATAATACAATTTTTTTTTTTTTTTTTACTCATACTCTTCCTGTACGATGAATTGGAAATTTATTGGTTTTGGAATTTGACACAACTGATGGGCAACGATTAAACAATATACATTCGGGTTTTCGTATATATATTATGTAGCTTTTGAGCCGTCAATTTTTATAAAATACCTTTTTTTTGCCAGGATATTTATTTTCACGAATTTGGTCATACTTTATTTTTTTTTCTAGCTCGTCGAAAACAAAAATGGTCCAACCCAAAAATAATGTTCAATATTTTATATTAGTGGAGAATAAAATACTTATTTTAATTTATCGAGTTTGCCAGATGAATCATTTAAAAATAACTGGCACGAATTTTTTCTTTTTCCACGAAAACAAAAGCTAACAAAGGAGTGGGAGCATAGATACTAACGCCTGTTTAGAGACCTGATGTGTTTTATTAATATCATTTTCTTAGTAATCATTTCCGTAAAGTATTTCAAAAAGATTTGTGAAAAATAAGCCCCGACACATATTTTACGTGTACATCATAGCGGATAAGTGTTACACAATAACTAGGTATATAATTAATGTTTGCTCCGGTGACTTATTTTTTTGGTATAACTATATGACACTTGTCGTTGTTGATTTTTTGTTCCACCTGCACCGTCATCAATCATTCATCGACGCTGACAATCCGATAAGACGTAATATGAAGGTAAATTTTCGTTTCATTTGCACGCCTATATACGTCCGAGCTTTCTAAAGCAATGAGCTTCCCGACAATTACAACTAAGTATGTTTTCCCTCTCTCTCTCTCTTTTTATCATCCCCTCACACATATATGTACAAAAAATCGTCAGATCTCTAAAAAGAAATCCTCTCCATTGCCGCAACAGTACCCCCATCCTCCTTGTACGTGTCGTCGTCGCGGCTTTAGCATAATTCGAAATCTCGCACGCGCTCCCTTTGACGGGACCACGGATTTCAGCCCCCCCGGTAAGTATATACGCGTCTCTTTTCTCTTTCTACTCTTGTACTGAATCCGTCCTCCTCCTCTAGAACGGCGACGACGACGACGACAAAAGCTTCATCCGTTATTATTGTTACATAGCGTGCGCCCGCCGAGATGGGAAAATAGCGGTCTATTTTCCGCCAAAAGCGCGCCCAGGCGGACTAAGACAAATTGCCCGCGCTCTCTTGTCGGCTTTCTCTTGCCACCTCGCTCTCTCTCCCCCTAGCCCCTTGTTCTTTTGTTATTTTTTTTTCCCACCTTCCCGTCTTCTCTACTACGGCTTCTCCTCTTCCTCCTCCTCGCGTTATTCGGTCTTTTCTTCGACTTGGAGGTATAACGAGGTTTCATTGACGATAAGCCACACGCGGTATATTGTACTGTAATCTTTGGTCCGAGCTTGCGGTGCGTGGGTGCGTTGTCGTATGGGTTGAGCTGTGCGAAGTGACGAGAGCAACTTTTTCTCTTCCGATCGCGGGCCAGTCCACTCATCTATCACTCGAGTCGCTTGTGATATTATACGATCGGTGGGAAGGAGAACTAGGCCTTTTCTTTTTTTTTTTTTTTTTTTTACTAGACCACGTGATGATAATGCATGATTTTGCAATGTATGCGCTTACGTTGTCTCTTTCGACGAGATTGTTGATACTGTTTTTCATTTTTTTTTTTGTCTTCCTGTACGCTCAAGTTCTATGAAAAGTATATAGTTTACGAGGAAAAACTCCGAGAAGAAGAGCAGCATCAGCGAGCAGAGAGGAGTTTTTTTGTTGTTGTTTTTTTGCTTATCGACCATTACATATTACGCTCCAAAGTCACAAAGTCGCTTTTGTACTATATTCACTGTCGTTTTTTTGCCAACGGGTTTTACTCATCGCGTGAAACGCGCTGATTACGAGCTGCTAATTGCACCCGATAATGGCACTTGAGTTTTTTGAAGGAAAAACATTACAAACTGTAGTGTATAATTTTCGATACATTGTACGCCGCGATGATGATAAGAACAACCTTCGGGGGGGGGGATCATATGTATCTGTGATGCATTTTCCGGGGAAAAATGAAATACAACTATTTTAATGAGATGGTATTGTCCGCACGACATTTTAGCGGCACGTGAGAGATGTAGCGCGAGTTACCTTGACGACGCTGAAATTAGTTTGTTCCGTAAAATAACAGAAATTACACTCGTATACCTGATGATTAAAAATGAAGTTTATTATTGTTACCATGAATTTAATCACAAGACGGGCACGGCGTGTGGCGGCACAAAAAAATAGCAAGACATTGTTGCTGCGGTTGAATACTATACGTGTATACTACCAGATGTATGTATTTATTATAATAACAGAGTGTTTTGATCGAAATCCAAAAGTCGGCGTCCGCGTGACGTTACTACTATGAGCGGCGAACAAGAGTATGCATTATAAATATGCGAGCGAGTTTTGGCCGAGCTCCGCGTCAGGAACGTCGCAGTTGCCAAATACGAGGAAGCGGTCGGATCCGTTTTTTCAATGCCTCCAGACTGACGCGCGAAGATGGTCGCCGTCGTCGGACGTCGCTTGGCTCCGTTGACGAATTTATATCGGGATGACGGATCAATTAGACTGTCTTCCCCCCCCCCCCGCGTTTTAGGCTATTAATTGCTCTCACAATTTCATTTGGTGTTCAAAGACTGGTTTTTCTATGATGTCGCAAAATTATTTGTTTCCAAACAAATAAGGGGATTTTAATGAATTTCAAAAGCCATACATTCAGTTTCCCTTAAAACATGGGGAAAAAGGCTTAAAAAGTGCCATTTTCTGAATAGGTACACAAAAAAAAAGTTGTGTCTTCGGTATTTTTGTTGCATACCCGTACCCTTGCATAACTGATGGGCCATTTCTTGATTATTCGTTTACTCGTTGCATAACAATAAAAATAAAAAAACGTTTCAAGAAATGATGTTTCGAATGAAAAAAGTTACCGAGACAATCAAAACAAAGATTTCGTAAGCCACCGCCTCGACGTGATATCTCTTTCATTATTACGGCACCGCAGCCTCACTTTGAGAAATAATAACCGAGTTTTTGCCCAATCGCACAAAGTGACCAAATTAGATGAACAAAAAAAAAAAACAAAAAAATTCCAAGCCAAGATCCAAATCCCCCGCAAGAGATACGTGAACCAAAGATGAAGTAATAGCCCGAATCTCCAAACAGATAACTAATGCGGCGGTAGCCGAGTTTTATTAATCTCCCGTCCCTTGTATCAGTCCTTGCGTTGTTATAAAAAACACCAGAGAACAAACAACGAAAAAAAAAAAAAGAGAGAATCACCGTACGAATCGCCCCAAATTCCTTATCACACGATTCTGCGCTTACACTCGCATGTACATAACTTATATCCACAAACGTATGCGCACGCAACCGTACTATTCTGGTCACACATTTTGTTTTTCATCCACATACGTTGAACAACTCGCGCGTCTGTTCTCTTGTCCGTTACTTTTTTTTTTTTTCTTTGCTATCTCTATACCAATGTGCGCCCAATACACTCTCCGGGGCCGTTCGATAAGCTGGACGTACCATACCACACACAGAGACAAAAGTCACGCCTCGATGATTCCTCAGCGGGCTGCTGTTTTTTTCTTTGGCTTTACGAGCGCGTCCATGGGAGCCACGCGGCTGCCGATTTCTACACGCTTTTACGATCGATCTCGGGACAAAATATGGCCGGCGGCTCGCTTTGGGCTCGGCTCTTTGCATCAACCCGCTTTTTGGAACTTTGGGGAATACACCGCGCACAGGCCGCCGATTTACACACACCCAAGTCCATTGTGAGAGCCCCCGAGGTTGACGTAGAAGAAAAAATAAAAAATAAAATTAAACTGTTCGCGAAAGCGATTGCGTTTCGTCGACTCTGTGTGTTTGTAAGAGCGACGGTTTTTTCGGATTGATACATCAATATGTTGATTCGCTCGTCCTGTGGCCGATAAAATATTGTTCACGGCAGGGACTAACAAGGAAGGAAGCACATACATATAATGTAAATCGACGTTGATTCATGGGCCGATCGATGCTTGACGTTTCGATAATTACGTGTGTTTACTCGTAACAGAGACGCAGTATGGACGTTACACGTGTATATACCTATACAAGCGACGACGATGATAACAACAATATGGGAATGAATGAAACACGTCGCATTATTTTGTACCGATCGTCGAAAACGATTGTTGATCAATGTCAAATTGATTTCCTTTTTAGATGTGTTTGCCGTAGTTTGAAGTAAACAGTATCCCAAAAAACCAGTTGATCGTTTCGTTTTGAATATAAATATAATTGGATGATTTCCAATAACGTGAATCGGGGAAAAAAGGGAGTTAGCTGTTATACAGGGGACACCGTTGTCAGTAGGGCATGTACAATATACTGGAAGGGTAGGTAGTAAGAAAAAGCAACTATATAGTGCGAAAAAAAAAACTGTAGGACCTTTTGAGATAGGTGGCTAATGGTATTATGGTGATGGCAAAAAAATAATTAAACAAATTTAGCACAGTAAATGCACGTTACCAACTAAATGAAAATATATACTGTCAGAATAAATAAAATCTTACTGTGAATGTATACAGTTGGGGTTGCATTTTTGAGGGCGATTTTTTTTTTTTTTTTTGTTTAACTGCTGCTGTATGTAGAAATCCACAAACAACTCACCCAACACGTATAATATGTATGTACCTACATCTACCTACAACATATGCTAAATAAACACAAATCAAAAAACAAACCTGTGGGTGTTGTGGCTGGTGGGCGTGGACGAGGGTGGCGGGGTCTGCCTGCTGTTGGCGTCCTCGATCGCCAAGGAGCCGGTGTACTTTTTGCAGGTGAGCCTCTTGAGCACGTCGTCCATGGTCCTCTTGCTGCCCGCCACCGCGGCAGGCCCCGTGCCGTTGTTGTTGTTATGCGTGACTGTGTTGTTGTTGTTGTTGTTGTGATGATGGTGGTGATGTTGGTGTTGATGGTGGGGGTGTTGCTGCTGCTGCTGGTGATGGTGGGCCGCGTAGTAGGGGTTGTGGTCGGCCGCGAGGGCCGGGGGCGAGCCGCACTCCGAGGAGCTTGCACCGGGCCCGGGCTCCTGTTGCTGCTTCGTCCGGTGGTAATGGTGCTGGTGATGTGATTGCTGCTGCTGCTGCTGTTGGTGGTGGTGGTGCTGTTGGTGATGGTGGTGGTAACTAGCCACTGTGGCCTGTAGGCTGTTGTTGCTGTGGTGATGCTCGACCCCCAATGCCGGATTGGTCGCAGCAGCTACGACGCCGAGCAGCAGCTGTAGCCGCTGGCGCTTCCTCGGCTGGGGTGAGCCAGGGGGTGGCGAGGACGAGCAAATCTCGGGCTCGCTCGTCGTCGCCGGGGACGAGCAGCCCGAGGACTCACCCGCCCCGGCCACGTGACCCGGCAGTCGAGCAAACTGCTGCTGCAACTGGAGCTGCTGTTGCTGGTACGAAGCCACCACCGCCACCGCCTCCTCGTCGAGCAACTCGCTGCTACTGTTGTTGTTGTTGTTGTTGTTGTTGTTGTTGTTGTTGTTGTTGTTGTTGTTGTTGTTGTTACTACTGCCGTGCAGGTGCGCCGCAACGGAGTTGTTGTTGCTGTTGATCGTCAGGTCGTCAGCGACGTCGTTGTCGTGCTCGTCTTCCTCCTCGTCGTCATCGTCGTCTTCGTTATCCACGTTGTTGTCGTCGACGTCGACGTCGAGGTTATTGTTGTTGCAATTGTTGGCCGTTATGAGCTCCCTCGTCGGGCCAGCGGACAGAGACGAGCCCGTCGTGTCCTCCTCCTCCTCGGCGCCCGCCACCGTCGTCCTCTGTTGGCCGACCCCGCCCTCCGATAGCTTCGTTGGTGGCGACTTCCTCTTCGAGGACATCCTTAGCCTGAAACAGTCGTTTAAACGATTTTTCGCTCAAAGGATGTTTTCAAAACGTTTACGGAGTCAAAATTACAAATTTTTATTGGCTAGAGTAAAAAAAATGTAGCATTTTGTGGGGCAAAAGTTTTCATTTGTGCCGGAGGAGGATGCACGATGCTAACAAATTGGTCGATTCGTGCGGTATATAGCCTACACGCGGTTGGCTCTCGCTCACGAGAGTCGTATATCTTATCGCCCCGGCAAATATTGTTTCGCTAAACATATCACGTTGCACCCTAAATTTTATTACTTATGTATACACCACGAACAATACACATGATTTTGTTCAGTGTATAGATAAAATGTCAAAGTATTGTCGACGTTCATTGAACTTAAAAAAAAATGTATTTGTTAATTAATTACAACTCCAAACTATCGAAGTGGTTCATAATATCGTACTGCCAACGTATATATACACGGAGTGGACGATGCAAGCAAGTACCTAATAAGGCCTATGTACGGGAGCTTTTTACAATCTAATGCTGATAAGAGGAAACGTAGTAATATCAACAAAATTGTGTAATGTTGTACCACCTCTTGCGGAGGAAATAACAAGTAGAGTGGACAATTTTTTTTTTTCCTGGCCAAAATCGAAAAACACACACATACGCATGTTTGTTTAAATCGCCGCCAGCCACGAAGCGTTTGCCCGATTAAAAGTAAACAAAACAAACAAAAAAAAAATATGGCAAACTACAGAGTTGCAGCTTATCTGCTGCTGCGGCTGTTTCCCTGACTACTCTTAAACGTTCATTTTACGTTTGTTCGTGCACCACACTTTTTAATTGCGAGAGGCGGTAAAAAAAAAAAAGAAAAAAAAAAAGGAAAGAAGAGACTTTTAATGAGTCTGGCGGAAAAAGCTCGCGTGGCATATGCCATTATACCTAATCTCTTTGATCGCTCGGAAGAGAGAGGAAAAAAAATGGATTCACGAGACGCGATATTTCCTATGCAGAGGAAAGAATCTTTTTTATTTTTTTTTTTTTTTTTGTAATTGATAGGTTTTGGCTCATACGTAGGTGCAGTATTAATTACACATTATATCCAACGGGATTTAAAGTGCAAGCTCGATGTGCCGACCTAATGATGTATATTTTTCGAGCTCCCAGGCGGTATAAACAAACAACGATTCGAAGGATCGGGTTCGTCCTACTTAATCCAACGCGTGGATAATGACACTTAAAATCAAAATACACTAAAACGAAACAATCGTGTATCGGAAGTGGTCATTAATTTTTATCACGGGTTTGAAATACTGCGATCTGAAATAAAGACGCAAAATGAAATGTATAATATAAAAAGCTCACATCGTGAGATAAAATTGAGTAAAAAATATTAGAATTTGTTAAAAGAGTAATGAATATGATGTTACATGTATAGATGATAAAAATATGGATGTAACTAACACAGGCAATCGTCAGTGGCACAGTTACAGACAGCCAAGGGTAAGGGAGCCTGGGTATCGATGCTCGAGTTGCTGTACAAGCGTGATGAATGGCGACACGATTTTCCAAAAACTTGTGCCTATACGTACATTTATGTCTTATACACGTCTTGTCCCTACCCGTGCGGAGTATAGCCACTAATCACGTTTGTCTCCAGACTAAGTGAAATGTATGGATAGCTGCGTCACTAAGACTCCGCTGTCTCGGACGTCATTTGTCCTGATGGCCTTTTGGTTATATATTAATTTCCGCTCGACGATTTCACCCTGGGACACGAAATTGTAAACTGACGTTGATTGTACTCTGTCTCCCTTTCGTGTACACTTCATGCCTCACGTCTATTGCTGTGTAATGTGTTACGCGTGAGGTCTATCTCTTTTATATATATATATATATTTTTTTTTTCGACGCTTTTGTAAAGGAATCCATTTTGTACCGAAAGAGATTAATAATCATGTGACAAATAATGTAGATATTGTTTTCGATACAAAATACAATAATTCTGTAACTAATCTAACGTCACAATAGAAATTAGATTCTCCAACTGTCCGATCCTCAACTGCAATGTACATAAAACAGACCATTACTCATCAAAGCGTTAATAGCCATGTTTTTGTCTTGCTTTGGACGTATACACGTGCGGGATAGGGCCGAATCGATTTCTGGCATCTGACATTTGTTTTCAAGCGGACAAAGTTCAACGGGCTAGCATCACTAAGTATGGAAATATTAATTAGACATTTCCACATATTTTTCAAAACGTGTATATGATAACGCAATACACGCGTAAGTGAACAATGTGCCTATAAATGATACCACGTAAATTCCAAACTCCGGCTGCACGTGGATAGTACGTATACGTGCATAATTTAATTGACAATAATGACGAGAGACATAAATTATCATCGGAGCAAAAAAGGGCCTTCCTCGATAGTTCCCTGTCGTCGCTTACAAGAGTCCTACATATACATGGATGCATTTACACGCGTCCACGAGGATGCGGAGGAGTACATGGGCAGCAGCGTCACTTTTTTTTCCCCCTCCTTCCTGCTGCCCGGCCGTATACCCCTGCTGCTATGCAACGTAAGCTTACAGCCGTGCCCTCGTGTAGCGGGCCATCATTACATATGCGCGCGGTGGTGTCGCGCCTTGTACTCGTTGCCGCCGACATGCACTGTAAAACGAAGCACAGGATGAAGTTGAAGAGAAGGAGGGGTGCACACGTTCGCTTACACTCAAATTAAAGCTTTTGCGAGAGCGTGTGTGCAAATGAACGAGCTTTTGGTGCTCTATTGTGTGGAATTTTAATGCGCCGAGAGACGCGGGCAGTACTGTTTTTTTTAGAAATTCCTGATAGTACATGTTATGTGCAGGGTATACGTGGTAAGTTTATCATGTATCCGCGTGTCACCACAATTTAATTTTATTGTGCCTATATACAATTATCGAATACCCATATATATATATATGTAAAACGATCAAATGAGTGATGTACTACATGGATGTAGTACTTTTTGTTTTGTTTTTTTACTATGTATGCTGCCTGTAATATATTTTCCAGGTGTTGAAGAAAGTCAAAAAGAAGATATAGTGATGGAGCATCATTGCGTTGGCGGACATTATTTTATGTACGTGGGCCCCCGCGTTACCTCGCATATATATGCATGTGTCTCGTACGTATTGTGTGCTTCAACGCTACATCATACGAAAATCCGCGTGTTTACATGCTTAAGCGCTGGAGCTTGCTGTGCGTGCAAATGAACGACGATATACTCGCGCCTTGCAATTTTTTATTTGGAAGCATACATTACGCGTTTGGTGAGTTTTTTTTTTTTTTGTTTTTTCCTTTTTTTGCATGTCTCTGGAAATTGCAAGGAGCTCAGAGACTTTTAATTTCCATCAACATGATTTATCACATAAATAACATTTTTATTAAAATAGTAACAATTCATTGTACTCTTGAAACAACGTAATATTTTTTAACACTAAGGACATCTTTTTATTTAAAATATATGTTTTCTTAACGTAAGAAAATTTAAATCTTAGAGCTTTTTTTTTTGACAACAAATTAGTTATAATCTCGTTGGCAAGAGCTTTTTTCAACTGAGCCATTTATTGCACAAGTATGACTATGTAGTTGACTGATATGACGAGTATTTTAGAGAATGAATTCTTATTCTTCTCAAAGCTTTGAATGGAATTGCTTTTTTATTCCAACGTGAGGATAAGTATTGATGCTAGCTGCCGAAATTGCGTAAGACGGGTTATATTTAGGATAATGTGAGACGATAAAGAGGCACGGAGGAGGATTTGTTGTGACTTTTTTTTATTTTTTTTTTTATTTTTTATAAATGATGATTACAGATAGACACGTTTCAGTATTATCTTCCTGCCAAAACGAAAGACGGATGATAAGCCTCTGGATCGACACTACGTTTGTTACGAAATACCTACACTGTTTTTATGACATGTACAGCCTGAGTATGGTAATATTTTTCGCGATCCCAAAAAATTCAGAACAAATGGAGCGAGTCGAATTGATAAATGGTTTTTTTTAATATCATCCTCAAACATCAAGTTGTGTCATATTATGTTTCTCTTCAATCACAATAAGTTTTGTAAATTATACCTACTTACATGGTTTTTTTTATTTAATATCAGTTTTATAATCCTTGGGTGCATAATCACACGTATATATAAATATATTGTTTCTAAATTGTTGTTCAAAACTGAGGTCTGACGTGATTAATTTCGAGGATCACGTAAAAACGCTTTTTTCAAGAAAGTTAAATTGTACAGGGCTTATTACTATTCGTAGCTGTTTTTGCAAACGTATAGTCAAGTTTCGTATACTCCAAGTGTCGGTGTAATTATTAAAGCCTACAAATTGAATTATAGACATGGGTAAATAAAAATGACGAAGAAACGTACAAATAAAACTCGCGCACGGAGAACCATAAGGCACGACAAAGGCGATTAAATTTTTCTCTCGGCACGCAATAAACAAAGAAAGGAAGAAAGAAAGGAGGAGGTGGTGGAAGAAAAAGGCCCCTCGCAGCCTTTCGGTCCCGTTATTTTAATCCTGATGGAGCCTCGTTCCAGGAAAGCGGGAAAAAACAACAATGTAACGCGACGTCGTCGTCTATTGCCAGATAGAAGACAGCATGCACAGGGTATATGTGTACCCGTACCCCTCATCCTCATCGGCCGGTTGTTAAAAAGTCTCTCGGATAAACAGAGCCGCGCTCGTGTGCGGCTAGTACGGGTACGGCCTTAGAAAATACAGAAGAAGCGTTTTACGGGAGCAGCTTTCTTACGTATGAGCTATAACACACCGCAACCGGAGGCAATCACTTCGCGATGGAGTCTTGTTCGTTTTTTTTCTCTCTCTCTCTCTTTCCATACGCATATATATATATATATATATACACGCAAGCGGCCCTAAAAAGTCTCTGCACAAAAACAGAAGGCGCACAGAAAGAGAGAGAGATCGAGTGAAATATTTTTAACAGACCTCCAG